CCTTTCCCAACAAATACTAAAAATGTCACCACTAGTACTGATGGTTTTGGTACTTCTCCTTTCCCCACTACTGTGAGCACTAGTACTACTGTTCCCCTCAGTACCATTCCTTTCTCAACAAATACCACAAATGTCACCACTAGTTCTACTGCCCCAGATACTACTCCCTTACCCACTACTGTGAGCACTAGTACTACTGTCCCCCTCAGTACTATTCCTTTCCCAACAAATACTACAAATATCACCACTACTACTAGTGGCCTTGGTACTTCTTTCCCCACTACTGTGAGCACTAGTACTACTGTTCCCCTCAGTACCATTCCTTTCCCAACAAATACCACAAATGTCACCATTAGTACTACTGCCCCTGATACTACTCCCTTACCTACTACTGTGAGCATTACTGCTACTTTTCCTGTCAGCACCACTCTTTTCCCAACAAATACTAATGTCACCACTGATACTATGTCTTCTAACACAACTACTCCTTTCCCTGTGACAGTAAACACTAGTGGAACTGTTTCCATCAGCACCACTTCTTTCCCAACAACTACTACTAAAATCACTACTAATACAACTGTCTCCAATACTACTACTTTCCCTACCTCTTTAAGCACTAGTACTATTGTTGCTATGAGCACCATTCCTTTCCTAACAAATATTACTAATGTTACCTCTAGTACTACTGCCTCTGATACTACTCCTTTCCCTACTACTGTGAGCACCAGTCCTACTATTCCAATCAGCACCATCCCTTTCTCAACAAATACTACTGATATCACCACTTATACTACTGCCCCTGGTGCTACTCCTTTTCTTGCTCCTGGGAGCACTAGTGCTACTGTTCCTGTTAGCACCGCCCCTTTCCCAGTGAATACTACTGATGTCACCACTAATACTACTGCCCCTGATACTACTCCTTTTCCTAGTACTTGATCACCAGTGCTACTGTTCCTATCAGCACAATTCCTTTCCCTAAAAATAGTAATATCACCACTAGTACTGCTGCCCCTGATACTCCTTTCCCTTCTGTGAATTCTAGTTCTTATCAGCACTGTTCCTTTCCCAACAAGTAATTTTGGTGTCTTCACTTGTACTACTGTTTCTGGTACAACCACTCCTTTCTATGTAAGCACCACTAGTTCCAGTACTAATGTCATTCTGCTTATAGCCATGATGGCTGTTTATCTTACCACTAATACTACTGGTCCTGATACAACTAATTCTTTCTCTGCAGGTTCAAGTCTGACTAGCAGTAGTGCTACTTTTACTATCACAACCACTTCATTCCTAAGTATTCTTAATGTCTCAACTAGTACTACTTCTCTGAACACACCTATTCCTTTCCATAGGAGTACTGATACTGAAAACACTAGCACCACTTCTTATCACAGCCATTCCTTTCCCAATGAGTACTACTGATGTCACCACTAGTACCACTGCGGCTGATTTAGCTGGTCTTTTCTCCGTAAGTACTACTACTGCTAGTAGCCATGCTACTCTGCCTTTCACAACCATAACTATCTTTACCAGTGATGCTGGATCTAACACTAGTAGTACTGTTTTGAATGGATCTACATCTGCACTGGTACTCTATCTTAAACAAGTATTTCTTCTGCTAGTGCTACCACTATTCTTCATATTACTACATTACTTCCTTACCAAATAATACTAATATTAACACTCTTACTACTATTCATAATAAAATGACTTCTTCCCCTATAAATGCCATCCCTAGTACTAATGCTTCTCTAATAATCACTTCCTCTCATACAGGTACTGATGATACTAGCCTTAATAATATGCTACCAATTATACCTACTTCTCTTACAAGTACTGGTGCTGATTTTACTATCAATAGTTTCCCCATTATTGATACTTATTTTTTTGAAAGTACTGATACTGTGAACACTACTGTTATGAGAACTACTTCTATAAATTCAGATGTTGCTAACACTACCATGATGTTTCTACTACAAATTCTTCTTCCACTGCTATGTCTGGTGGTGACAGCACAAGTAGCGCTATTATAATAATCACTACTCTTCTGACCAGTACTCTTGCTCCTAGCATTAATGATCCTCTCTCTGTTATGACCAATTTTTCTTTTTCTACAAGTATGAGTGCTGCCAGCACTGGTAATATTGTTCCTGTTGTGATACTTCCCCTTCCTCAAATACTCATGCTACCAGTACAAACAATACTGTCTCTGTCATGACTGCTGAGTAGGAAATTCCTTCCATCACTCCCACCTGTACTATTACTTCTGTTCTAAACACTACTACAAATAATTTCATTTGCTTCTTCTTTTATCCACCAGCTTTTCCATTATTACTTTACTGCCGAGTCTCTTCTGCAGTGTGTAAAGGCTTTCACTATGTTCTTGGTCTTTTATATTCAAATTCATTTATTTTTGAGGCATTAATTCCTAAGATCACCCAGATCCCCATCAGTAGACTCTTGATCATTATCAAATCTAGCCAGCTGGTTTCTATTGCAGGTTTAACCCTAGACCAGTATTCTCAAAACGTGAAGAAGGAATCTGTAGGTTGTCCTAAGACTCTTCCTGGGATATAAAAAAGTCAAATCTATTTTCAAAATACTCCATTGTTATTAGTCTTTCCACTGGCATTCTTTTGTTAGTATATGGTGACACTTTCCAGAGACCTTATGTTGTATGGTGTGACAAAGATAGCATACAAAAATCTTGCTTTCTTCTATCATGCAAGATACTAAACAGCTTCACCAAATGTAAAATAACGCCATTTTTCTTACCATTTTTGCTTTGGAAAATATTATTTTCATAAAATTTTATTTATGCTAACATGTAGTATGTTATTACAATGAATAAAAAATAAATATTTAAAAGTATTTTACAAATGACTCAATTTTAATTTCTAATGGTATCTTCACTTATTTTGAATGTAAAGGAGTCCTGACACAAGAGAGTTTGAGAACCACATTTTTAGGCCAATAATATCCTTTTTCCAACTCTCAGGTCCTGGTCAAGTATACTCTGAACTTCCCCATCATGTAAGAACTCCAGCCTCTCTGACTTACTCCACAAGAATCTCTAACACCTTCTGCAAACACATCTTCCCAGCTTTCTGTCATAACATCACAGGTGCTCCATTGTCTGGACTGTTTGATGGCACCCTTCATGAACAACACAGATTCAGTAGTTAGCTATGATATATCTGCCTCATGGAATCAGCCTGCAAGCTGCAGTCATCTGAGCAAAACTGACAGAGCTTGTGCTTGTGAATCCATGGCTCCTAACTTGATCTTCCAATTCAGAACAAAACTCATAATTCTGAAGACTTGGTCATGAACTCCTTCACTTGTACCTATACTGAGGGTCACCCAGTGTACTTTTCTCATTGACATCACAAATGCTGATGTAAGACCAAGTGCACATTTCACCCCACTGTCGGACACTTGTGGCACTGCAAACACTTGGGCCCCTAGGTGACAGGACGGGATGCAGAATACAGACAAAGTTCACCTGGGGGCTATGGACTTATCTCAGTGGTGGAGGACTTGGCTAGCATGCATGAGGTCCTAAATTCAATCCCCAGAATGGCAATAAAATAAAAAAGTCAAATAAAATTTAGAAAACTGCAAGGATCTCATCATCAATGTTCCCAGGGATCCCACCTTCCTAAGTATGGAAGCCATATAACCACAGAGATTGGGGCCGGGATCTTGCCTGTAGAATTTTGAAGGCGGTGAGCACCAAAGTCTCCACAGTGGTGGATGCAGAGCCAGGGTAGCAGTTAGATTCACAGTGTCCAAATATGTGCCCTGTAGCTGGTGTTGGGGAAGGTGGCTTGGCCTGAGCTGTCATGAGTAATGCTTTTAGAACTGCTTCAGAAAGTGGCAAGAATGATGGGATGTGTGTTTGAAAATGGGGGAGTATTTAGAGGAGCATTAATGGTAAAGTGTCTTTTATTAGTTACTGACTTTTTCTTTGGTACTGGGGATTGAACCAGGATCTTTGCACTGAGCTATCTCTCCAGCCCATTTAAAAATAACATTGAGACAAGGTCTTGCTAAGTAACTACATTGCACAGGCTGAGCTCAAACTTGCAGTCTTCCTACCTCAGCCTCCCAGAGTGCTGGAGTTACAGACATACACCTTGCCTAGTCTTGCATTTAGGTGCTTCCTGCATTTATGTGAGACTCTAATACATGTGATAGACTCCATGAGCAAGCTCTAAGAGTGCCTTCTACAGGGACTCTATGGCTTTCAGTATATAACCCTGTTTCCTCATCTAAAGATGATGAACATCTGAAGTATAATAATATGCACAGAAATGCATTTTCAGTCTGAAAAGTGTTCTGTAAAGATTAGTCATCGTCATCATCATCATCATCATCATCGTCATCATTCTTTGAGTATTCTCATGTTTCTTCCTCGTTCCTCTTGGGTCTTCTGAGAGAGAGGAGCTTTTCCTGGGTGCTCCTGCCTTATAAAGTCACGCAGAGCACTTTTTTTTCCAAATTCAAGTTTGGTAGAGGAAAGCTCTTCAGAAATCCCTCCAAGGTGTCCCAAATTGTGCTTTCGGGGAAAATGAGCTTTTCTGAGCTGGAACAAAATGTCTCACTGCTAAGTTAGATAATGTCCATCTCTCCTCACTTTACAAAATATTTAATGGATTCACTTATCCCAATTTTATGATATTTCTCAGTGCTTTTTCTTGCTTTATCTTTTTAGTTTTGCTGCTAATCATATGTTGCCTCCTAAGGAGCTCTGGCTCAGAACAAAATGTACAAACAAATAACAGAAAGAATGACTTTGAAATTTAAATAGAGTTCATTTGTACTGACTGTGGGTGGGTGTGGGTATGATTAGGCACACTATTTCATATGACAAACATCATATTTCTGCAGTGTGATTTTCTCTGGCTTGTGTGATGAACTTGAGTGTAACTGTGTTCCCTCCTGCTCTCCTCAGGGACTGTTATTTGGTGGGATCCCTCGACATCTGTGAGCCCTATAGTCCAGACAGCCTTGGTCATCCCCACCCTGGCAGTGGGTCACTGTGTTCCACATGGTGTTTCCAAACCCAACGGTGTTTACCCTCAGCACATAAATGTGCACAGAACACTGTTGTTGCCTACTTCTTTGCACGTGAATTATATTTTCCTTACTTAGGTTTTGCAAAATATGATATAAATATTAAAACTTTTGTTGAGTAAAATCATGGTATCTCTTTCCACACAAAGATTGGGCAGGATTTTTAGAATCCCCCTTCCCCAGTTTTGGTGCTATGTATCAAATGCAGGGCCTTAGGCATACTAAGCTCATGTGGTACCACTGAGTTACATTCCCAGCCATAGGAACCCTTTTAGAAAATGGGAGTTTTCTAAACTCCGGGTTCCTCAGCCATGACACAAACCCACTGTGTATGCCATATCCACTGGTGCCCTATCTGCATTACCCCCATGGGACTCACAGGAAAAGAGGACTGATAGAAGCATGAAGTTCAAGCTGCCTGCAATGTCTTGAGCCATAACGTCCTTTGACTCAGACTCAGGAGGACCTGAGGTCTTCCACCAGCATCTGTGAAACTGTGGCAGGTTCTTTGTAGTTCTTAATAGGACTGTCTCTTGGGGGACACCAAACTTAAGCATGATGATAGGGATCTGAGAGTTCACTTTTGGTCGTGTTAAATTTGGTAGAACATTTATATTTCTAAGAGGAGGTATTAAGTAGATTGTTTGGTGGATGAATGTAGAACCCAGAGCAGGGAAATTCTGAATGGAGATACATTAGAGATCTATTAACATATAGGTAGTATTTGAGCCTTTGGACTAGATTATATATTAACATGGGATATCCAGACAGTTACGCACATAATCTACTAAGCCACTTTCTGTTGCTATAATGAAATATTTGACTCTGAGTAGCTTCATTCTGCTGTTGCTAGGAATCATCTGAGGTCCATTTGTCCATTACTGGTGACATTAATTTGGTTACTTGTTTGAGTTGGTGTCTGCAAAACTTTCTGATCTTAGATGGTTAGGAAACTGCAGAGCATATGAATCGGAAAGGATGTTAAGGTCACCTCATTCAGTTTTATACCCACTGTGGGAATGTTCTAAAACATTTTACCAGTGGTATTCATTTAATTGTTCTGTCCATATGTATAACGTAAAAGCAACATTTTCACTATAGTGATGTATTACTTTCCATAGGCGGATGTAAATGCTCAAGATGTGATTGAAACACATGGTGATGTTTTAAATTTCTTAAAATTGCAGGAAAAGACACATTGCCATTAATCCCCCTCAAAATACCCCCTTACTTCAAACACACTTAGCCCATTGTTCTTGCCACTTTCAGAAGCCATTCTGAAAGTGCTTTTTCATGAGTGTTTGTAGTTGTGGTATTGTGACTCAATATTTTGAATCAATTAAAAACATTTACTTTTCATGGGTCTTTTGACTTTGGGGAAGAACCAGATATCACATAGTGACAGATCCATTTAATAATGTAGATAATAAGACACTGTAATGTTTTCATGAGCTTGCTTTTCTGTTGGATGACACTTGGCAGGAGGATTCATTATATTTTTGATCACACCTCATAAAGACACTCATGAGAGAGGATTTCCAGAACCGTTTTAGAAAGTGTCAGGAATAATGGAATAAGTGTATTCAAAGTAAATGGGAGCACGGCGGGGGCGGGGGGGTAATGTCAAAATATTTTACTGTAATTATTTTTTAAATTAAATATTCACTATATATTTCTATGACACCTTGTAGTTCCTTTCTTTTTTCTTTTTGTGATACTAGAGACTGAACCCAGGACCTTCACTTTGGGGTGGACAATGTAAGTCTGAGGGGAAAATGGCTGCTAAGTGGCTTGTGGACATTTGTGTAGCACCCCATTTCTTGTGCATTTTAGTAGCATCTGTTCTTGACCTAATGTCAGGCACACAAGTGTTGCTCAGTAAATATATGTCTGATGTTTAAATCCTGAGATCAGCAGGTGGAGTGGGAAAAATTGAAAGAAAAGAGGCAAATTCGGAGTACGAAATTGAAGGGGAGGAGTGTGTTGCCTGGGAACCGTGCTAGGCCAGGATTTGAGCAGAGAGGGGTATTGAGAGGCTCTGGCTGCAGGACTGGAGTGGCTTGAATAGATCTGGGGGATAAGGCTGCCATATAAACTAAGGGTTGACATCCTATTATCAGCTGAAAGTATTCTTTACCTGAAAGAATTTGCTTGGGATGCCCTGGAATATTACAAGTTGGAAAAGAATGTCAGACTTTCTCCTTAATCAGATATAGCAAATAGGGAGAATGTTTCCATTGTTTTAATTTCTATCTAGATCTCATTTTTATCTGTGTGCTTTCTTATGTTGTAGAAAGTAACTTTTTGTTCTTCAGATAGCCGGCAGATGACTTAGGAGTCCTACCTAAAAGAAACCCTCCATTTTCCCCCTCTGGTGCCAGAAGAGGAGACCAGTAATGCACACAGCACGACACCCTAGCATTGAGATGAGCCTAGTTTTTCAGAATCATGAACTTTGACTTTGAAGTCTCTTGGGTTGTGGGACAGCAAAGTCCACTGCTTACGCTTTATGAGTCTCAGAAGTGGCTCCAATCATTAAGACGCAAAACATCGCAGGAGCTGAATGTGAGCACTGAGGATCTTGCAGAATCTCAGTATGTAGCACTCTGAATTTTCCAGGGAGAAATGACAGTAAAGGCTCATTACTTTCCGTGACCTTGATTCACCTCAACAATTCCACAGGTGGATACTGCTCGGTCAGGAAGCAGGGCTATGATGTGAAACCTATGCCAAGGCCTCCAGCAGTGATGTGGAGTTGGCTGAGACCATATGCCCTGTCCCCAGGGGAAGATCCCACAAAACACTGTGATCTATCCAGAGTAAGAGTGCCCTCTAGAGGACAGCATGAGCAAGGCTATTCTTAGATTAGCATAGTGACTGAACCTTGAAGGAGTGTTGCTGAGCTTTACAAGCTTAGATCCAAACGTGCTCCCAGAAGCTCTTAGAGAAGTCTCCACCAAGAGAAATATGGTTGCAAACCGCAGCCTAGTTCCACAGAGCATTTGCACCCAGGGGCTGATCTGTGCCTGTGAACTTTGTGAACAAGGCCTGGGCTCCAGGTTTGAGGGCTGATTCTCCACTTTGCTCCTCACCTGTTCTCAGAGCTCAGTTCAGCTTGTTTGTCTAGCCAGGCTCTTGATATTGGTGACTCGAGTGTGACAGTGTAACATTTGGTGGGCTAAATGACTGTCCAATAGTGGAGAGGCGGGGGAGTAGGGAAAAGACTGCACTTTCATTGTTGCATTGGGGACACATTTGCATTTGAGTTCCTCAGATGCCCTCTGGGTGCCTTAAACTGAGCAATTTGAGAGATCATCCAGTTGTCTTTCTTGGACCAAACTTTCAAAGAAAAGATATGACAAGAGGAAGCAAGTTAAGTTCTATTTAATATGCCTGGAACTTTAGCTTTTCAACACAGAGTCCTTCCTATTACCAAAGTCACCTCTCACTCTCCACTACCCTTGTGGTTCTACTGATGCCTCACAGAGAAGATGCACATGTACCTACCAGGGCAGTGCAAGCGCTGAGAGGGCTGCAGGGTTCCCCCACCCATTCATCCTCTTGAAGAAGCTGGGCCCCAGAGTTTTCGGAGAATGGATCCTATCAGCAGCTCGGGAGCCAGACCTCCTTAGAGAACATGTGGTCCCACCGTGACCCTAAAGGTTTAAGGGTGAGTCACATAGAGTGTCATAGACCAGGCTTCAGGAAATATGTGCAGCATCCAGGCCGACGGTGTCATGGCTTAGGTCATGGGAAGGGGCACAGATGGGGGACACATTAGGGACCAAAGTGGAAAGTTGCTTCTGTATTTGATGATAAGGAGAGGGTTGAAGTGAGAGAGTTCTGGGTAAGTGGCAAGACAAGACAGAATTAGATTCCAGTCTGCAGCATGGCAAGGAGCCATGGAATGGTGCCCTGCAGGAACAAGAGGGCAGCCAGGGGGATGCTCCTCAGGGTAGCAGTGTTGGAGCCAGAAAGGACCACTGGTGCAGCCCGGAAGCCTGCAGGGGTCTGGTCCTGGGGCTCCACTTTGCCTCCAGAGGACTCCAAACAAGGACCCCGAGGTGTAGGGATGATGTCAGGAATCCAGCCTGTGGTGTTTTCTATCAACTCCTGCAGTAGAGGGAAGAAAAGGGTAAACCTAGAAGCCTCCTTACCCCCTTTCCCTTCCTTGAAGCCTTATTTCATTATCCTCGAGCTTACAGAGTTCACAGCCTAACAGGGAGGCTAAACCACACCCACAACCCAGGCCAGCAGCAACCTGTCTTTCTGCCTCCTCAGCCCCTCCATCTCCAACTCTGAGTCCCTACTGAGGGGGAAAACTGTCTCCGGGTATAAAAATGGGCAACTATGGGTTAACTGTGTAACTCTGCTTGCTGAGAAAGACGTATTGTAACTATAGTCACTATTATAATGCCAACTTATTGGAGCAAAGTGATCTCAGGAATCCCTGCCAAACCTCCTGCTCCCCCCTTCATTGCCCCTTTGCTTATATAATTATGCTTAGGTTGATAGCTGTTTCTCCAGTGTGACAGTTGTGGTTTGCCCCTCCCATAGAAACATAAAGGTATAAAAATGAGAGTAAAGTGTGTTTAATGCTTTTGAGGTAACTTAAATCCCTTGAAGTCGCCAGTAATAAAGCTGATTTTTGCTCCTACTCGTGTGCGCCATGGTCTGTACAGAGGCCCCAAGAGGTCCGCTTCACTATATTAGCCTTTGCCTTTGCCATCCTTTTTTCCTGCTACCTTTGCTCAATACCATCCCATTCCCCTCCACCAGCCTGAGAGGGTGGCATCCTGGGGAACGCGCACATTGATAGTCTTGAGCATCACTGTCTGCCGGGCCTCCTTGCAGGCTTTCTCGGCTGCCTTAATGTTCTCTGGAGTCCATTCAACACTGCTCATGACCATCAGGTTCTCCATGGGACTTCTGCGGCAGTAGGGTCAGAGCAGAGGGACAGAGAGTAATTTAGAGTTACTTGGAGCTTTGACAAAATATATGGAAAGCACCCTTATTTTTTGTCAGCGTGAGCATCATGTCAGCACAAGCCATATAGAATGTCTACTGACTCACTGAACAAGTATGAGTTTGACAGAAGAAGAAATATCAACGGAGAGGAGAATTTTAGAAACTGATGGAAAGACTATGTTCACTAATGTGGTTATTAATCTAGGGGCATGGGGCCCAAGAAAGTTGACAGAGTGACTTCAAGGATCTTGCAATTGTCCTAAAATTGTAGATGAAATGAGGTGTCTGTACAGATGTGCATTTTTTCTTAGAAATAAGTTTCAGAGCTTTCGTGAGAGTCTCCGAGTGGATCCTCACCCTCAAATAATTAAGCTTCATGACTTGAAAGTAAACAATCTTTGAGTCAAGAAGCTCATTCGAGCAAGAATTCTGCAGGGATGATCTGACTTGCAGGAATCAGCTCTTGTTTGTTCCCTGAATAATCATGCTGGAAAACATCCCACAAACTCCTGCCTGTTCCAGAGCTGTAAGACACTAACAGATGCAGAGGTGAAGAGGACAGGAGAGGATTAGACTCTCTGATGAGGACTCCTGGCTCGCCAGCCTAGGATGTCATTTTTGGGTCTCCTTTTCCTTCTTCCTCGGACCTCCCCAAATCCCCACACATGTGTAGATTTTATAGATTTCGTCTTCCAGGATGACTTACTCTGCAGCTGCTTCCCCCAGCTCCTGGACCACGTGACCGATGTCAGGATACCCCAGGCAGCTAGAGATGTTATTTCGGGGATAGTAGAAGAGGAAGACAAGGCACATCTCATTAAGGGTGCTGGTACCTCCCTGGAGACGATGACAGAGATGGAGATATAAAGACATCAAGGCAAGCAGAGAGAGAAGAACAAGGCAGGGGGAAGGCAGCTTGGGAGGGCATTCTATTAGAATGGCCTTTCCCTTCCCTCTAACCTAGAAGGTGTGTTCTATTCCTTCCCCACTTCTTGCCACCCGTTCAGTTAATTCCTTTATGATTAGTTCTTGTGAATGTACCTAAACCATTGTCTCCACTTTTTATTATTATAGAACTTTCTTCTTTGCATTAATCATTTGTATGGATGCATTTTCTTTTTCAAAAGCATGCAACCTCTTTTGAAACCTGCAACCACCTAACCATTCATGATACCTAAAATTGGTGGGGTTCCTTTTGACCCTGGTAATAACATTTAGCTGTAACTGAGCATCTCCTACAAAGCAGGTGTTCTCCATGTGTTAACCAACTCTCACAACGATCCTATGGGATAGGTGGTGAAGCAATTCTTTTATAAATTAGGAAACTGGGGCACAAAGAGGTTGAACTTTCTAAAGTGTAGAAAGCTACTAAATGATCATGCTGCCTTTTGAACCCAAGCAGTGATGACCCAGAGTTCAGGCTCTTAGTTGCTATGACATCTCTCTCTATGGCCCTATTGGGTCATTGACAGAGCACGTTAGGAATCCCTGTATCCATCTTAAATGCATGGGAATGTCCTGTGTGAATGAATTATGACATGGGAGGAAAGGGCATCAGCTAGGATAATCAGTCACCTAATGGCCACAGCCCAGCTGGAGCTGCTTTCTAGGGCTAATGTCTTTGTGTGTGTGTGTGTGTGTGTGTGTGTGTGTGTGTGTGTGAGAGAGAG